CTGTCTCTCCTCGCTCTCTCCCCTGGCTGTCTCTCCTCGCTCTCTCCCCTGGCTGTCTCTCCTCGCTCTCTCCCTTGGCTGTCTCTCCTCGCTCTCTCCCCTGGCTGTCTCTCCTCGCTCTCTCCCTTGGCTGTCTCTCCTCGCTCTCTCCCCTGGCTGTCTCTCCTCGCTCTCTCCCCTGGCTGTCTCTCCTCGCTCTCTCCCCTGGCTGTCTCTCCTCGCTCTCTTCCCTAGCTGTCTCTCCCCTGGCTGTCTTTCCTCTCTCTCCTGTCTCTCCTCGCTCTCTCTCCTGGCTCACCTTGCTGTATTTTGCAAACAGTGCAGTGCAACAGGCTGTGTAGACTAGGTTTCTTTGATGTAATACATAGCACTACAACACCCAGAATCCACCAGAAAGGAGTCAGGGAGCTCGGCTCAGCAGACTCAGGCTAATAGGTAATCATGTGTGCACAGCGAAATAAATATACCAAAATGGAATAAAGGGACCGCCCTTCGTTCCATTTATTCCAACATCTATTCCGAGATCCGCCACCTCTGACATGTTTCACCCAATCCTGGGCTTAGTCACAGAGCTATCCCACTGAAGTACTGTAATTTGGATTCCATTCTGGGGTGCAATGGGATTTCCCCCTCCTTTTCTGTTCCGCTTGACACCCAACAGATAGCTATGCAGCATGGAGAAATATCCCAAGCGGACGCACAGGAAATAAGATATTGTCAAAAGTTCTCTCCCGTCCAATGATTTCCAAGGTTCCCGCCCGCTCCCCGCATGCAGCGCCCAACACACTTGGCTGCACTAGCACCGTGGGAGGACAGGACAGTGTGCTGAAGAGCCGGTGTTCTGTCACTTTTGCCGAGCACGTTACGTAGTTCGGCAAACATAACGCGGTTGGCAAATATCACAGAACACCAGGAAGCTAGACCTCATACTTCTCCTTTCAGGCCCAGCCCTCCATCCTAATGTCGCTGCTCTCATGCTGTCGGCTGCGACCTTTATGTGTCAGACTTAGCAGACGGGGAGGGGCTAAACACACCGTGGGAGGGTTCTTGGGATAGGGAGTCGACTTCCGATCGCAATCTACCAGTGTCAGCTTTGTGAGATTCTGGTAGATCGCGATCGACCTAATGGGCACCCCTGTACAAAGGTAATCCAATCTCTTCCAATCATTACCACTCAAAGCAACGTCCATGCATGCAGTGGGACTTACTCTATATTGTTGCATTGCGTTGAGGACCCTTTTATTCACTTACCTTGGATGGTATATGAACTTCTGCACAGGTACAGTCTTGACATATGAACCTTGTCATGGTATGCCCCCTTGCAATAAGTATCTGGTTACTTGCTGCAGTTGTAGGGGATGGAACAACTTTTCCTCATATGTCTACAGACTTCTAGGAGTTTCACCAACTTTTGTGCTTCATTCTTTGATATATGACCCGGGTTATCCAGCTCAGGTGTCCATTTTTGTATTCTTTAACAGGATTACGCCATATTTATAGTGGTGCAGAGGGTGCATAGCAGGAAGCACATTGTTCTTGTGTTCTTTACTTGCAGCAGACTCCATGTAAATTCAGCATAAGTCCCATCCGGTGTATCAGAGTCACTGGCCCTCAGAGATGGCTCAGCGTTTGTGCGTAGTTTACCTGCAAATCACAGCACTCCGGCTGCCAAATGCAGCAGCTTTTTGTGGATAGGCAAGCTATGGCCTTCCAGCTGTGAACTCCCATCATGCATCTGCCTCTGGGGGTCTTGTTTGTGGCTGTCAATGTCTTGCAGTGCCTAATAGGAGTTGTAGTTGTGCCACAGCTGGAGGGCCGGAGTTTGCCCACCTGATGTAGAGACTGTCACTGAGCCAGCTTCTTACTCGATCAAAAGAGCCTAAAAAGGTGTGAGACAGGAGGGGCTAAAGTGTGTATGACATTTTAACAGACCTTCCCACCATGTCTGATTTATTCATTGAATCAATATTTTCATATGAATGTGTATTAAAGTCTGATAACCAAGACGTTATTGCGCAGCACAAATTTACCATTTGATACAGACTATCTATACCAGCGTATCAGGTCCCCCTCTGCTAATTGACAGCCGCAGAGGGCGGGTGTAATAGCTAGTTTGCTATTGCAAAGTGAAATAGCCAATAGGAATCTAGCTATGCATTCCTATGGTGGTTTTTTTTTCTTTCTTTATTTATTCTGACGGCGTACGCCAGCGGTTCTCAACCTGTGGGTCGCTGTGTGATTTCTGCTGTGCTAGGTGAGAGTCCTCCTCAGCCCTCTCCTAGCGCAGCAGTGTCAGTTCTCCCGCCACGCCGCCAGATGTTGCTGCAGCAGCCACGTCATCCCTACGTTTTACCTTTTGGGGGGGGGTCACCACAACTTGGCAAATGTTACCAAAGGGTCCCGGCCCTAGAAAAGGTTGAGAACCACTGATCTATACTATAAGTCATACGGCTACATCAACCATATCACTCGTCGTATAGGGGTATTTAATCTTAAAATGACCCCTCCCTCTGTAGGTTTCAATTAGACAGAGTGAGCTTGAAAGCAGACAACTACTGTGATGGTGCTTCAGAAAACCCACGCTGCTTTTTTCAATCCAGTGCCATGTATTAGATCTCTAGCAGTAAAGTGCTTCAGAAAACCCGCGCTTAGGTTGGACTTGATGGACTAATGTCTTTATTCAACCTCAAATACTATGTAACTATGTAAAGTGAAGACTGTACAGGGAGAGTAAGAACAGATACAATCAGTGTAAATATTGTGACATAAGGAGAGGGGACATCATTGAGGGGCGGTATGTTTCCCCTCGCTTTTCTATCCTATGTGCAGGAATAGCGGAACCCTGACCAGGGTTTCGCTTTGACTTTGGGTCTGGATAGTCCAGATCGGGCTTTGTGTCTCACCTGGATAGTTGATTGCTTGATGAGTGCTTGTCCAGGTGAGATAAAAGGGGGAAGGCTGAGAAATGGTTTTGCTCTGGCCTGGGACTCAGACAGCCTTCTGAGAGAGCTACATGGTGGATGTGTTGAGAGAGAAAAATAAACTTTGCTGCCTGGACTGTTTTTTTCCCAGGGAAGGTGATCCCCCATTCGAGCTATACCCCCACAATATGTATAAACTTTACATTAAAAATACAAATGGCAAAACGCCGTCATAGTTTTCCTCTGAGCCACACTAGTGTGATCGTAAACTCCTGTGTCTGGTGTCACAATGATAGACTCTGAATCTTCTCTTACTGTATAAAACCAGAATCTACTTCACTTGCAGGGGTGGGCAACCTCAGCACTCCAGCTGTTGTGTAACTACAAGTCCCATGAGGCATTGCAAGACTCTGACAGCCACAGGCATGACTCCCAGAGGCAGATGCATGACGGGATTTGTAGTATCACCACGGCTGGAGTGCTGAGGTTGCCTACCCCCTGCTCTATAGGCTGCACATCTCCATCAGGTCTCAGGGTCATTACACGTCCGCTGGTTCAGTCTTTCCATTCAAGTCTTTTCTCATTTCAGAACCTGAAGGAATCGGATCATGAGATAACACTGCGGTGGCAACTCCTGGACCACAAGATCCCCATGTACGCCAACGAGAAGGAGATTCTCCAGAGGACAGCCGAGCACCTCCAAGCCCATTATTAATTTATTGATTTAAGTTTAATCTGCTGATATTTTACCTTCCCTGGCTCATCCCCTCCCCCATCAACGTGATAATAACATTTTAAAATAAAACCTGTTTTCATTACAAACCTTATTTTATACCATGTGATTGTTGTGACGTACGCCCGGCCCGAACCCGCTGTACGTCAATCGCACGTGACTATACGCAGTTCTGAACCGAGCGTGAGCATCACGAGGACGTGGTGATGGCACTCTCAGCCTCGCCCTGCACAGAGATTTCCCAGCTCGCGGGACACAATCTCAGGCCAGCAGACTGAGCGCGATCGTCACCAGGGTTGGGCAACGCAGCAGTTAACCCTTTACCCACCAAATGTTTGTTGCCACCATGGGAAGGGGGTTTAACACCGCGGATGTCAACTGGTTAACAGAAACACGGACCGATCCCAGCAAGTGCTGTGACAAATTAAAACACAAACAAATCCGCTGCAGCCAGGACTGATCCCGACATTACTGTTAAGATCCACCCAGCTGTGTGATTGACAGCTGGCCCTGCCTATCTAGAGGCAGAGCCAGCTGTACCCACCCCCATTAGTTCCTCCAGTCAGCGCTGGAGGATGGGAGCGGGGAGGGGGGTGAATCCCTGCAGGGAACCGTGAGTGGCAGTCACGGCTCTCTGCAGGGACAGGATCGAGAAGTGAGCGAGCGACGGTATGTGTTCGCTCACTTCCCGATCTATTGAGCCGACGAGTGACAGTTTCATTGTCACACGTCGGCTCTAACGGAGTATAAATCACTCACCTCATAGTTCTCTTTTAATAAAATAAAAGGTGCAGAAAATATACAGAAAAAGATATTCATAAAAAGAGACAAAATATATATACACAACAGCACAATAAAAGGGAAAAAAATGAGAATACTTAACAGTCCTGGAATTGGGAGTTCTGACAGAGTCCAGAGTTCAATAAGCAAAGGAGAAGTCTGAAGGGCTCTTCTACAAGCAAGCTTTCAGCAGATGATGTCCAGAGATTAAAGGGGAACTCTTCTGCGATGTTAAGAGTTTCTGATGTTGCCAGAGTTCCTTTCTTGATGTTTCAAAACAAGAGCCTCCCTAGCTGCCTCGGCAGCATCCTTTTGTCTGCCCTCTAGGGGGTGTCACGGAGCCGGCCCCTAGGGCAGGGCTGGGGAGGGAGAGCAGGAGGGACGAGCCTTTATTTTACACCGTCACCTCCCAATTTCAAATTATGAAATGGAGCCGATATTGTAACTCAGGTTTATGACCTTTGGGGGAATGCCGGGTCACCTGGGTCGTTAACTCTACCAGACCTGCTTGTGTTTATCAACTTGTCCACTGGTAACAGATGAATGCCTGCTTGAATGCTTTTAATTAGGGACAGCTATAAAAGGTATAGAGGGTTATCTGGGACTCTCACTAGTGCTGGGGGACAATAAAGATCTCAGGCCAGATAAGCAGATCTCTGTTCTGTGGAATGTGGGGGGACCTGTTAAATGACGGCCTGCATTTGCTCTGAACTGGGGGACAAGAGAATGCTATATTTAATATTAATAGACTCAAACCCCATTATCGTCACACAGACTACCTTCAACAGCCATTGAAAGCACCCCATGTGAAACGTGGCATGAATCGAAGCCTAGCCTAGGGCACATCAGAGTGTTTGGATGTAAAGCTTACGCCTATATTCCAAAGGAGAAGCGATCCAAATTGGAGAACACAGCCACTGAAGGAATTCTGGTGGGCTATAGTAAACACAGTAAGCGATATAGAATCCTCCACCCAAAGACTGACAAAGTGACAATAAGTCTTAGCATCTTTCCTTTTTTCCCTGCAATTTATTTATTTTTTTATATATAATTTTTTTTTTCTTTTTCTTTTTTAGGGGAGGGAACGAGTTTGGATCTAGGGGAGGAGGGGAATGGATGAAGGAGTGGGAATTATTGGGTTTTTTTATGAATAAACAGGGTAAGAGAAAAGGTACGGGGCCGTAATTGAGTGGCATTTTAGACAATATAATGCTCTTTGCCCTCTCTTTTTATGGCTAGATAAGTAATGGTGAAAGGTTAGTTTATTATTCAATTAATCGCATTTCATGTATCACAAGTACTAGTATTTTTCATCTGTTATGATATATTTTTCACCTGTAATTAAGAATAAATTAAGAAATTTTAGATATGAAATAGCCATATATGTAGAAGTTAATGATATCATTATGTAATTTATGGAATTGTATGTGAAATTACACAAATAAAAATTTATTCTGGAAAGTCTTAGCATTCATTTCGATGAGAACCCATCACCAGAAACAATGATCCCGGGGAGTGATTTCGCCCAGTGAAATAGCAAAGTGAAGCCGAGCAAAGTGAAGCTGCACAGGAGTTAGAACAAGAGGTGGAACTCACAATGGATAAATCAAGTTCCATGTTAAATTCTGCTGAACAACTTCAAATTAGAAGATCCACTCGAGCTACCAAGGGAATACCACCCTGCAAGCTGTCATATACTGCTAAGACACGTAGCATACTCCAACCAACATTGTGGGACGACATAGAAAAATTACCAAAATGGAGAAAGTCAGCAGAAAAAAAAAAACTGCGGATGCGGACTGCGCTCACCAAGCCAGTGCCAAAGGATCGTCACAGTTTGCTTCCTGTTGAGAAGGGGTTTTGGAAATGCAACAGCATATGCTGATATCTACTGATTGTATTGCTGAAATGTAATATGTCTTTTTAAGCTGTAGATGGCAGTGTAGTGCAATGTTACTCTCTATATGCATGCGTATCTTTGATACACAGGAAGTTTTCCTATACTGTATATATACATTGAGTGGCCTGACGTTTGTAGGCAAATTAGCTACAATTTGGCGCTGAAGTTGCTAGAGGGCCAGACCATTAAAAATAGGGAAGCAGGTTGTTTACCACGACAGTAGAAGTGATTTGTTTCTGAAGATTCGGGGAGACAACGCGATGTAACAGCCTTTGAACGCGGGATGATTGTTGGCGCTCGGAGCCATGGAGCGAGTATCAGCAAAACAGCAGAATGCGTTAAATGTTCAAGAGCAGCTCATTGTTAAAGTGTTTAAAGACCGGACTGTCAGCCGAAAATCTGGGTCTGAACGTGCGAATTGTGGCCGTCAGCGACTAGTCAATGTTAGGGCAGAACGGGGGAGGGGCAAGACTGGTACAAGACAACAGAAGGGCAACAGTGCCGCGTCAGATTCCTCGCATCACCTTTCACCATCTCGTGGAGTCACGAGGCAGCCCACGAAGTACTGATGGGGTGGTCATAATAATCTGGTCGCTGTGTATGTGCTTCTCTATGCATTGCAGGCACATCATGGCTGGTGGGAGGGGGTTGTACATAGCTCCCTGAATACATCACAGCACCCTGCCTCAGTCCTCCTCAGTCCTGAAACAAGCAGTGGGCTGGCTCTTGGGAACAAATGTCAAAATGCCTTGAAAAAGGTGGTAGCCTTGAAGAGCAGGAATTCCTAGGCAGGCTTCATTTGCATGTAGGCCACCCTAAGTAATGCCCACATGCGAGGCTGAGCCTCCATCATTGAAACTTGTTAAAGATGTCACCAGTACTGTAGGGGGGCGTGGCCTGAACATGGCGCCGAGAGGACGTGCATAAGGAGAGCTCCGTGTGACGTGTTCTTCACTGCAATACGGTGTGCTGGTGACATCTTTATCAAGTTTCAGTATTGGCGGCGCCATCCGCGGTCACTTCGAGCCCCCACGCTGACAGGGATACCTGGTAAGGAGTGCAGCAGGATTCTGGAATACATACCGTATTTTCCGGCGTATAAGACGACCACCTACTTTATGTGTTAACTATGTAGCCGAAGCTACCGTACGTACAGTATTACCGCACATCCATACCCGGCGTATAAGATGACCCCCGATTTTCGGGCAGTGTTTTTGGGTCTAAAAACACGTCTTATACGGTATGTTCATGATTGAAAGAACTGAAATTCAATGAATAAAAGGGGTGGGGCCAGGGACAGTCGGGCTACGGAGGAAAGCTCTAGATGATCCTGGACGTCCTCCATCCAGGAAATTAGGTGGCCTCTATCTGACTTGCTTCAGCTTCTAATGTACATTGTGAGAAGCGTGCAGTGAACTGGCCTTCAAAAATGAGTCTTGACATGGGGTCGGAGGGCAGATGAAAAACACTGCGGGATGATAATGGAGGGAATGTGGCTGATTCATCTCTCCTTATCGCCCGCAAGTGGGGGAATCAGATGTGACAACGGCCACCCTCATCGCAGGGAATTGCAGGCAGAAGTAAAATCAATCATTCAACTGATAGAAAACAATGCAGACGTAAGAGCTGCCACCTTTTCCTCAAGCCAAACACTAACACTGTAGCACCTCACAACTTGCCAGTGTGCCACAGGTCCCCAGATATACATTATGTACATAAACCATGCCCCCATAAGATGCCAGTGTGCCACAGGTCCCCAGATATACATTCTGTACATAAACCATGCCCCCCATAAGATGCCAGTGTGCCACAGGTCCCCAGATATGCATTCTGTACATAAACCATGCCCCCATAAGATGCCAGTGTGCCACAGGTCCCCAGATATGCATTCTGTACATAAACCATGCCCCCCATAAGATGCCAGTGTGCCCCAGGTCCCCAGATATACATTCTGTGCATAAAAGATGCCCCCATAAGATGCCAGTGTGCCAGTCCCAGGACTTTACTGTTTTCCTCAACAGAACCTCTTCAGGAATACGCTGTGCCTTTGAGCAGCTTTTGTGTGCCTGACTCTCTCAGCCTCTCCAAACCTTTCTACCTCCCGGGCTGTTCCTCGTGTGCACCCAGCACACACACCAATCCTGGCTTGGCCCTTGTGTGACTCCACACCACACCAACTCCACCCTTGAGCTCTGGTCTGGGTTCTTAATGAGACTGCTCTCATCCACCTGATACCCAGCCACCTGATACCCAGCAACACCTGACCTCAGGACTGGAGATTTCATCCCACCCAGAACTCTAA